TTGATCTCTATTCTAATGAAGTTCATATAAGATGAGAATGTTTTAACTTGTATGTCACAATACTTAATATATTTGATTAGTATATGTATTTATATGTATGTTCATTCTCCAGATTTTAATATTCTGGTGTTATTTAGCTGTTCTTCATATGATGGTACTTTTCTCTCATAATCAATTTCCTGAGAATGCACCATATATCAGTGTTACTTACAAAAAGCCAAAATATTGCAAGTGGAGTCTCGTTTTGGATCCATGGATCTTTCATCTTTTTAACAGTTCTGTTAATGTATAATGGACTTAAAGTATACAATTTGATAAGTTTTGACATACATCTCCATCCATGAAACAGTATCACAGTCATGATAATGAAAATATTTATCATTCCTGAAAGTTGACTCTTTAATTCTTTATAATCTTTCCTTTCCACCTGTCCCCATCTTCTTACCTGTTTCCAGGGAACTTCTTATATCGGTGTATTGTATTGTAAGGACACTTGACATTGAATTTAAGGCCCACCAGGATAATTCAGGATGGTGAACTCATCTCAGGATCTTTTCTTACACCTGCAAAGACCTTTTATCTAAGTAAGGTAACATTCACAGGTTCCAGGAATTGGGTATGGACATATCATTTTGGAGGTTATCATTCAACCCATTACATCACTAACTGCTTTGTATCACAGGTTTGTTAACAGAATCAAACAGTATGGTCTTTTGTTGGGGGTGGGGGGTCTGACTTATTCCATTCAGCATAATTATCTGCTATTTATCCATGTTGATTCGTATATTCTTTTTTATTGCTGAATTGTTTGGAATATACCACAATTTATTCATTTATTCACTGGTGTTGATAGATAGCTGTGGTTGTCTTCCCAGCACCTCATTCTGCCTCAAGTGGAAGAGAAAAAACTTCTCCTCCATCCCTCCAGACAAGAAAATGGCTTACTCTGGCCTTTAGAAGAAGCTAAGCCAGGCACTCTCTGCCCCTCAGAGTTTAGGGCTAGTGAGCTCTGTCCCAACCACCTTCTGCTATTAGCTGGTTGTTAATGCTGACTAGACTGAACTGAACTGAACTGAACTGAACTGAATGCTGACTATGGGCTTCCCTGGTGGCTCTCAATAAAGAATCTGTCTGCAATGCAGGAGACTGGATTTGATCCCTGGGTCAGGAATATCCCATGGAGAAGAGAATACCTACCCACTCCAGTATTCTTGCCTGAAGAATTCTACAGACAGAGGAGCCTGGTGCGCTACAGTCCATGGGGTTGCAAAGAGTCGGGCATGACTGAGCGACCAACATCACTACTACTACTAGTGAGGAATATGTGTAAGTCTAACTGGCTCTCTGGGCTTCCTGGCCCTCATCAGAAAAATGAAGGCGTTGATTAGAGGCTCTCTCAGATAATACCTTACCGATGATCTCCAGTTTGGGTTATTTATATAGGAAAAAAAAAAAATCCCCTCCTCTCCCATTCCCCTTAGGGCTGAAGTTGGTGGTTTCTGGAACCAGTCAGCTGACTCAGATCTCTGCCATGTCACTGTTTTTCCTGCCTAACAAAGGGGAGAAGTGAGGGTGGTAAGGCTGCTCAGAGTCACTCCCTGGTAGAAGCAGAGCTCTGACTTTAGGGCCCAGAGGCATAAAGGGACATGGTGACTCTGCTTTGTGCCTCTCCATCTCAAGGAAATGATTCTCAGGAACCAAGCTGGGGTCCTCACAGGACCAGGCCCATGGGGCAGGGGCTAGGGAGGAGGGCCCATCTTGGGACTGGGGAAGGGATTTGAAAGGAGGCAGCACTGGCTACCATTCCACCATCACCATTTTTACCTACTCCCTTCCTTGCAGTTTTAGGGAGATTCGGGTATGAGGAAATGCCTACATGGGCTGGAGGAGGAAGGACTTTCTTTTGGCCTGACTGGTACAGTGAGAGCTAGGGTGGGCAGGAGACCTACCTGGCTTTAATAAGCAAAAGTGTGGTTTCTTATTATTTGTTCGCTTGTTTTGTCTTGTATGCTCTGTCCCACCCCCCACTCATTTATTAATTCAGGAGACCTATATGCTGAGTGCTGGGGACATGGAGATGTGAGACACTCCCCACTCCCCCATTAGCCTAGAAGAGGAGACAGTCTGTTAGTAAACCAGGGGAGACGTGCCAGAACAGAAAAAAGCCAGCCTTCAATGAAAGGGGTTAATGAGTATGTGAGAAAAAATCATGAAAATATTCATGAAAAAATCTCATCAAGAAAACAACCAGTCTAAACACAGGGCAGAAAAGGAGAGAAGATGGTGGAGGAATAGGACAGGAAGACCACCTTCTCCCCAACAAATGTATCAAAATATCATCTGCATGTGGAACAGTTCCCACAGAACATCTTTGGAACACTGCCAGAAGACCCCAGATTTACAGAAAGGTAAGCCAATCTCAGAATGAGGTAGGGCAAAAGATAAAAGACAAAAAAGAAGACAAAGAATTTGGGATGGGGGCCTGCATCCTGGGGACAGTCGTGAAGGAGAAAAGGTTTCTGCATACTAGGAAAACCCCTCACAAGCAAGGTCAGGGGAGGGGAGCTTCAGAACCTCAGAGGGAAGCACAGCGAGACAGGTGTGCCGAAGGCAAAATGGAGAAACTTCACCACTGAGATCGCACGTGGCTGTCACGCTTGTGGCAAGCAGGGGCTGGGTGTGGAGGCTCAGGCCTCGGGATTGGTCCTTAGTGAGAGGAATGGGGGTTGACTGCCATGAAGGTACTCTGAGGGGGCTAATACGACACAAAGCAAGCGAACCAGGAAAAACCCTGGGACCACCAGTGTGTGTTAGTTGCTCAGTTGTATCCAACTCTGCAACCCCATGGAATGCAGCCCCCCAGGCTCCTCTGTCCATGGGATGCTCCAGGCAAGAATACTGGAGTGGCTTGCCATTCCCTTCTCCAGGGGATCTTGAACCTGGGTCCCCTGCATTGCAGACAAATTCTTTACCATCTGAGCCACCAGGAAAGCCCTGAAATGTGTAGGACATATTCAGATTCTTAAGGGAGAGATATATGGGACCACCAGAGAAGCAAAAGATTGTTCCCGTGGGAAATCTAATGCCACCATGCTCTAACTCCATGTGCTCACAAAACAAACGACTCCGATCTATCGGTCTAAGGTCCCAGAGGCAGAGAAAAAGGCATGAGTGCCAGGGGCAGGAGATCTTCAGTATTGACCCCACAGATCACAACTACCATCAAACTGTAAGCACATGCCCGTCGCTACCCACATCTTCCTGAGAGCCTGAGTGGCTTGGCTCTGCCAAGGACGTCACAACCTGGAACCAACTCCCCTGGGGAAGCACACGACCCACGCCAGACTGGGCAACCTCCCTCAGGGCCCAGCCATGGCAAGCACTCCGTACACACCCCAGCAGTATCTGCTGTACCCCTCCCTCTTCCCAGCACAACTGAGCAAGTGAGTCCTAATAAGTGGCTACTTTTGCCCCCTCGTGTCGTGTCTGGGTGGAGAACAGACATTGGAGAGAGACTTGGAAGAAGAGGCAACCCCAAAACCAAAGTGGAACACCAAGGTCTGGGAGCAAAGGAAAGAAGAGGAAACTGCTCCAGAAGTGGCAAGTACTGAGGTTTAAATGCCTGCAATTAATCTGAGGTTGTGTGCTTTAGGGGCAACTGTAGACTTTGAGAGCCAAATACAAGCTTAAGCAAGGGAAGATCTAAGTCTAAGCTGACCCCACACCACCCACAACAGGTTCAGAGGCCTTCTAAGATATATTGGAAGACTTCCTGAATAGGCAGATGGACTGCAGCAGGAAAACAAGAATCACTTGAACATTCCTCTCACTGCCACTCTCTGTATTCTGCACCCTCCTGCTTTTTCCCTCTTCTTCTCATACTGGCCTAACACAGTTCTTTATTACTCCTTTAATTTTTATTTTTTGTAACCTATTTTTTCTTAAAAAAATAAAAACACCTTATCTTTTTTTTTTTTTTTTTTTCTTTTTATTTATTGGTCTTGCTTAATCTCACAAGACCTCCAAAAATTGTCTGGTGGTGTAAGGTTTCCTTTCTTGCTTCTATATGAGTTAGTCTGCACGGCAACAGCCGGAGACTAAGCTCAAGTAGAAGCAAGAATGGCGGCTCAGATAACACCTTATCTTTTAAACAAATTACATATTTTTTGTTTTTGATGTTTTTGATTTTATAATTTTGAGAGTCTAATTTTTTTCCATGTTTTTGATTTTTGTTTTTTGATCTTTTGTTTTAAATTTTGTATCTTTGAGGGTCTAATTTTTAGTACCTGTTTTCACTTAAGAGTTAGGTTATTGACTTGATTGCTCTCTTTTCTTTTGATTTTTTTTCCCCCTTTTTTCTCCTTCTTTGCTCTTCTTTGCTTTGTTTAAGTGTGTGAATCTTTTTGGGTGATCTTGGATGTTGAGAATTGTTTCACCAGTAGTCTAGGTGTTTTGTCTTCTGTGCTGTGTGCCCTGTGAAGCCTTGATGCTGCTGTAAGGGGTTGAGCCTGAATCCCAGAGGCAGGAGAGTCAACTCCAGGACTTTGGACCACCAGGGAACTCCTAACCGCATGGAAAATTAATAGGCAAGCGCCCTCCCAAAGGCCTCCATCTCAACACTAAGACCACGTTCCACCTAAAACCCAGCAAACTCCAGTGCTGGATGCCCCACACCAATCCTTCAGCAAAGCAGAATCACAACCCTGCATATTAGCAGACAGGCTGCCCAAAGCCATACTGAAGCCATAGACACCCCAAAACACACTACTGGCCATGGCACTGCCTTCCAGAGAGATGAAATCCAGCCCCATCCATCAGAACATGGGCACAAGTCCCCCCAAACAAGAAGCCTTCACAAGGCACTAGTCCAACCCCACCCATGGCAGGCGGACTCCACAATTCAGAGCAACTATGACCTTCCAGTCTGCAGAAAGGAGACTCCAAACACAGTAAATTAAACAAAATGGAAAGACAGAGAAATATGCAGCAGATGAAGGAAAATGGTAAAAACCCATAAGACCAAACAAATCAAGGAAATAGGCAGTCTACCTGAAAAAGAATTCAAAGTAATGATACTAAAGATGACCCAAAATCTAGAAGATAAACGGAAGCATGGATCAGGAAGACACAAGGTCTTGTTTAACAAGGACCTAGAAAAATTTAAACAATCAACAATCAACAACACAATAACTGAGATTAAAAATACACTGGTGGGAATCAACAGCAGAGTAAGTGAGGCAGAACAGTTACATGAGCTGGAAGATAGACTGGTGGAAATAACTGAAGCAAAACACAATAAAGGAAAAAGAATAAAGACAGGGCAAAGTACATTCAGTATAAATTTACTAATTTAAAATTATTTCTAGTATTCAGGAAGTCCCCTATTTTTCTATAGATGTCCATAAAAAGGGCAAAATAGTTTAGGAGAAAACAATTGAAGAGATCTCCACAGGTTATCAGTCACACAACTGTCTCTTACCTGTTTCTTGTTCACCTTGCTGAACATGTATTGGACACGCTGCTTCTCAGCAGAGGTAAGATCCCAGATACTGTTCTCTCTCCTGTGTCCTGCCCTCACTTAATTCTATTCCTGGGTGTTCTCATTCACAGCATGGCTTTCCCTTTGCTTTGCTGCCCTGGGAACCACTGCTTTTTGAGGGTGGTTGGCTGAAGAAGGATAGGATCCCCCTCAGGAGGGTTGTACCTCTGATTAGTGACTTAAAGTGTTCTCCTGTGGCAGTCCACACAGCAAGGGGCAAATGATACCAGAAATTCCAAGTAGAAGATTCCACTGAAGACATTAATGTTTTAAACTGATTCATGGTAATTTAAATTTTCTCACAAATGCAGCCTTCCTCCCCGCTCCCCCCTCCCACTTATACTGTCTATAAGAAACACTTTAAAGACACAGATAGGTTGAAGATAACAAAATGGAAAAAGATCTACCATGCAAACAAAACAATAAGCATCACATAGCTGGTGTGGCCATACTGATATCAGATAAAATGGGCCTTAATGCACAGAGTATCAGTAGACAGAAAGCAACACTTCTCCATAATAAAAGATCAATTCCACTAGAAATACACAACAGTCAAAAGTTTGTATGTGCCTAATATACATCTTCAGAATACATGAAGCAGATGTCACCCACAATGACACTAAAATGAGAGATGGGAGGGGTTGGGGCTGGTTGCTGGCCAAGGAGTAGAAGGGTATAGTTTCAGAGGAAGAAGAACGTGACCTTCACAGACCCTGAGGGGTTGGCCAGACACAGGAAGAGAATCCTGGGGAGGGGAGCACAGAACCTCTCTGATGATGGGAGAACCAGATGATGAGGAGCAAGAATGGGTGTTTCATGGGGTTCCTAGGCTAATAGCAGAGCTCAATAAATATTTGTTAAACCCATGACAAAATGGGAGCTTAAATCACACTATTCTGATGTAAGAAACTGAAGTTCCACTGGCTCGATGAGGTGGGGAGTGTGTCCACATAGAAGGTGACTACCCCACCCTAGATAACCCTGCTCCTGAGATTTTCCCATTCAGGCCCTCCCTGAGGGAAGTGCTGGGATAGATATCCCCCTATCTGAATCAGAAGAATGGAGAACACCTGTATCTGAAATCTCCACCGAGCTAGTCTTGGGCCCTTCTAGACTTTAGCCAGTGTAGTAACTTTACCTTCATAAAAAGGAAAGGTGCCTCAGGTCACTTATGCTAGCCCCATGTCATCAAACAGGACTTAATATTTAACTTAATTACAGTTTCAGCTCTTCCCAAAATGGAATCAAACTTGTCAACCAGGAATTACTTGGTCAGCATTAGTGAGGTAATTTGTTCTTTAGACACTACTATCCTTCTGCTTATTTAACTTATTTGCAGAGTACATCATGAGAAACACTGGGCTGGAAGAAGCACAAGCTGGAATCAAGAATGCTGGGAGAAATATCAATAACCTCAGATATGCAGATGACACCACCCTTATGGCAGAAAGTGAAGAGGAACTAAAAAGCCTCTTGATGAAAGTCAAAGAGGGGAGTGAACAAGTTGGCTTAAAGCTCAACATTCAGAAAACTATGATCATGGCATCTGGTCCCATCACTTCATGGGAAATAGATGGGGAAACAGTGGAAGCAGTGTCAGACTTTGTTTTTTTGGGCTTCAAAATCACTGCAGATGGTGACTGCAGCCATGAAATTAAAAGACGCTTACTCCTTGGAAGGAAAGTTATGACCAACCTAGATAGCGTTTTCAAAAGCAGAGACATTACTTTGCCAACAAGGTCCGTCTAGTCAATGCTATGGTTTCTCCAGTGGTCATGTATGGATGTGAGAGTTGGACTGTGAAGAAAGCTGAGCACAAAAAAATTGATGCTTTTGAGCTGTGGTGTTGGAGAAGACTCTTGAGAGTCCCTTGGACTGCAAGGAGATCCAACCAGTCCATCCTAAAGGAGATCAGTCCTGGGTGTTCATTGGAAGGACTGATGCTGAAGCTGAAACTCCAATACTTTGGCCACCTCATGGGAAGAGTTGACTCACTGGAAAAGACCCTGATGCTGGGAGGGATTGGGGGCAGGAGGAGAAGGGGACGACAGAGGATGAGATGGCTGGATGGCATCACCGACTTGACAGACATGAGTTTGAGTAAACTCTGGGAGTTGGTGATGGACAGGGAGGCCTGGCGTGCTGTGATTCATGGGGTCGCAAAGAGTTGGACATGACTGAGCGACTGAACTGAACTGATCCTCAAAAGGAAGGTGTCTTTACCACAAACAATTCAGTTTTTGCTGGTATAACTTCCTTGCCTTTGTTCCCTCCTAAGTCTTCCACTTTGTACAGCTCATTGGAGTGCCTATCCCTGCTTAGATGGGATGATGCCTGATCCATGAATTGTTGAATAAAGCCAAAAAGATCCTCAACGTTTGTTGTTGTTCAGTCATTCAGTCGTGTCTGACTCTTTGTGACCCCATGGACTGCAGCACGCCAGGCTTCCCTGTCCTTAACCATCTCCTGGAGCTTGCTCAAACTCATGTCCATTGAGTCGGCGATGCCATCCAACCATCTCATCCTGTGTCCTCCACTTCTCCTGCCTTTGATCTTTCCCAGCATCAGGCTCTTTTCCAGTGAGTCAGCTCTTTGCATCAGATGGTCAAAGTATTGGAACTTTAGCACTAGTCCTTCCAATGACTATTCAGGGTTAATTTCTTTCAGGATTTGATCTGATTGATCTGGTTTGATCTCCATGCTGTCCAAGAGACTCACAAGAGTCTTCTCCAACACCACACTTCAAAAACATCAATTCTCTGGCGCTTGACTTTCGAAGTTTACTCAGTTGAATTATGGTTTTTTAACACTACTCACTGCAAGGTGAGATGCTCAAGTGACCAGCCCAGAGCAATTATCTCAATGGCTCTAGGACTTACTTTCCTGGGTATCTCAAAACTGGGAAAAGGGCACAGTGTAACAGATACAGACAAAGGTCCATATAATGAAAGCTATGTTTTTTCCAATAGTAACATATGGTGTGAGAGTTGGACCATAAAGAAGGCTGAGTGCCGAAGAATTGATGCTTTTTGTGGTGCTAGAGTAGACTCTTGAGAGTCCTTTGGACAGCAAGGAGATCAAATCAGTCAATCCTAAAGGAAATTAACTCTGAATATTCATTGAAAGAACTGATGCTGAAGCTGAAGCTCCAATACTTTGGCCACCTGATGAGAAGATCTGACTCATTAGAAAAGACCCTGGAGAGACTGAAGGAAAAAGAAGGGGGCAGCAGACAGTGAGATGGTTAGATAGCAACACTGACTCAATGGACATGAATCTGAGCAAATTTCTGGAGACAGTGAAGGACAGAAGAGCCTGGCATGCTGCAGTCCATGGGGTCTCAGTCGAACACCACTTAGCGAATGAATGACAAAAATTAACAGATACAAATCTGTCCCTGAAAATATATCTATTTCTCCTATAATAAATTAATAAAGTCTTCTGATTTAAAAATGGTTCCTGGAAATTCCTTGGTGGTCCAGGGGTTAGGACTCAGCACTCTTACTGTAAAGGGCCAGGGTTGTTCAACCCTTGGTGGGGAAATTAAGATTCCACAAGTCACACAGTGAAGCCACACACACACACCAAAAAAAAAAAAGCTAAGAACTTGCCTAGCATGGATATTCCCTGAAAAACTGTTTAAATGCCTTGAAACATTAAAGCTTTGCTTATTTATTTGGCTATAGTGGGTCTCTGTTGCTGCACATGGGCTTTCTCTAGTTGTGGTGCACAGGTTTCTCATTAGTGGCTTCTGTTGTTGAGCAAGGCTCTAGGCACATGGGCTTCAGTAGTTGCAGCACAGAGGCTCAGTTGCTCACTGGCATGTGGGATATTCCTGGATCAGGGATTGGATTTGTGTCCCTTGCATTGCAAGGTGGATTTTTAACCACTGGACCACCAGGGAAGTCCTAAATGCCTTTAAACATTTATTGAGTAAATGTCCTAGGCTTGGTAAGAGAGAAAAAATAATAAAATAAGGTCCTTGCTTTAAAGGAGTCTGAAGTTCAGTTGGGGCAGACAGACATAAATAGATAATTGTAAAGAAGTATGAGAAAGGTCATAACTGATTTATGAACAAAGTGACATCAGCACTTGGACATAACTTGAGGTTTTAGGGATGAATGGGAAAAATCGCTACCATGCCAAGGAGGAGAAAATTGCGTGTCACTGCTTCAAACAGCTAAGTTATTTAGACAGAAAGATCAGTTTCTCTCCTTGAAAAACTGATGACCAGACTTCCTATACAAGGTACTACAAAGTACCACAATCTGGTACACCCAGGGAGCGTTTCCCGTCAGGTTATCATAGTGAATGCTTGCCTAGGAAAGAGGTTCCGAAAATTCAACTGAAGTGTTTATAGAAAATTATCAGATATCACCAGGGCTTCAAGAAACTTGAAGATAGAACTCAAACACAGCTTCAGTTAAGCGCTTCGCTTTTCTCAAACACTTGAAAAGTGTTAACTTTTTCCTGATTGTGTCACTCAACCTGCTGAAAATTAGTGAGTTACGCGGCTCTGATCTTTCCGGGAGCGTGTTTCGGGGGGTGGGGGTGGGGCCAGGGCCAAAAAGGAACCACTGATGACAGGCAAGATAAAGGCCAAGAGGGAGACATCAGATCACAGCCTCGGATTTCTACCGATTTCAAGTTTTCTTTAGGTGATCACCAACCTGACTGGTTCCAGCATCCACCCTATCTTCACCTTCCCCTTGCCTTTCTGTCTTTCTCTTCCTCCACCGGTTTTCCCGGATTCCTGGGTCTCCAGGCTCGGGAGCTGACCACTTTCCCCGCAGGCCCGCCCTTCCCAGGTACCATTCTCAACTGCGGGCCTAGCCCAGGAGCGCGCTCAGCTTGCGCAGCCGCGAGCTAGGCACGGTGGGGCGGGGCGGCCGCAGGCCTAGGGGGCGGGGCCTGGCCGGCGGCCGTGGGTGGGCGGGCCCAGGCGAGGCGGCGCCGGCGCACTGTGTCCGCTGTGCTGAGCCGCAGCCGTGGAGCAGGCAGCTCCCGACCCTGAGCGGCTTTTGCAGCCCGCGCCGCTGGAGCCGCTGAGCCACCCCGACACGGGGCTGGAGTCCGTGGTCGGTGAGGGAGCGAAGGGGGCCCGGGACGAGGGCCCCGGGGACGGCACGGTGAGGAGAAGGGGCGGCAGAGACCCCCGCGGCCTGGGTCGCGGCCTAGAGGGCAGAATGGACTGGTTTACGCTGACCGCGCCGGTGGGCTCGCTCGGCCGAGAGGCCCCGCGGTGACGGGGAAGCGGGGTGCAGTCAGTGAGGGGAGGCTCGATGGGAAAAGGGGGTTCTGAGTAGGGGGCGAACGCCAGGGCTGCGGGACCGCAGGAAGGGTGGAGAGGGCGCGGCCGAGGGAGCGGAGGGGTTCCGTGGGCGCGGCTCGGCGGGCGCGGGCGCGGGCGCGGGGCCGGGAAAGCGCCAGGCTGAGGCAGGTGCGGTTTCGGGGTCGGGAACCCGGGGCAGTTGGACTCGAAGAGGAACGCTGATGTTTCTGGCATCTATGAGTCGTGTGGAGGAGTAGGCTTAACCCGGGGCGGTGGCAGCGCTGTTTGGGAAGGAAGAGAAGGGGGGACTTGAGGAGCAGTCTGGGGCACGAGGGTGTTTGGCTTGATGCCACCATCGGAAGATGGAATAAAGTGTTAGAGTCAAGGAAAGGTACAAATGAGAAAGATTTTGGTTTGTGTGTTTTTAAATGTATTTTTAGTTGGAGGATAATAAAATTGCTTTACTATATTGCATTGGTTTCTGCCACACGAGAACGTGAATCAGCCATAAGTATACATGGGTCCCCTCCTTGGTGAACCTCCCCCCATCCAGATTCTTTCTTGACTTGTAATTTCCTCGTTTGGGGTCAGTGCTGTATCTCCCAATGGAGATGTGTCATGGATATCCTATTGGCTTTGTGAAGCCCCTTTGATAGTGATTTTCATTTGCTTGACGGAAGGAGAAAATGCATCATTTTATATTTGTAATTGCTTTCATTCCAAAGTGTTTTCACGCATAATGCAAGATGAGTAGACCACGTTAAATAAAGTGATTCGGAAACTCAGTCGAGTACTTATCATCAGACCACCCTAATGAGCCTGTGCAGTGCTCATCCATTTTGATTCTTTTTTTTTCTGAAACAAGTTCTAAATACAAAACTGCCCATCCTTGTGATAAATGGATAAAGAAAAGTTAAAAGTTGTTTGCTGACTGTAACTAGAAAGACAACTAGTTAAGAATTTCAACACTAGTTAAAGTTCAACACTTAAGCACTAGCTATTTAAGAAAGATTTAACTAGCTAGGAGTTTACGGTTTTGCCTACTTGGGGGAAATGTCGAGGTATATAGAATCGCATGAAGACTTCTATGGGTGAATTTTAAGTTTTTCATTTATTTTCTTCCTAAATTATAGAATTATTTGTGGAGACGTATCTTATATGAAATGTGAGAGCAGTGTGTGTATTCTGTAGTCCATAAACTTGAATCTTCCGTGAATTGCTTTTTTAATGCAGATTCCACTTGTGACTTAGTTTTTGTTTCTTAAAAAAAACAAAAAATTTTTGTTAGGTAGTTAGAATAGGGAAATGAATTTATAATTAATGCAGAAAAGAGTCTCACAAAATAAAAATCAGTTTCTTTGAAACCTCTGTATATTCTCCTGTGTTACATCCGCTCCCTTGACCACAGAAGTAATCTTTATTCTGAATTTTGTATTAACAGTTCTCTAGCTTTATATATATATATGTAAATGTCCCTAAACAACATGTTGTTTAGTTTTACTTCATTTTGAAATTTACATAATTGGACTAGTTTTACTATGACTTCCTTTTTTTGCTCTATACTGTTTTGGGGGTTCATCCAAAATGTAACTTAGTTTGTTTTTATAGTCATGACTCTATAGTATACCATTTTGTAGGTATTCTAAAGTTGATTTCTCTTTTCCTCGTTTTACAGACATTAGGGTTGTTTCAAGATTCTTGCTGTTTCTGAAAGATTACTACCACTATGAACTTCTTACATGTAAGAAATACATAGTGCAAGTATATATAAACATATATATAAACTTAACAGTGGAATTGCTGGATTATAGGGTGGTAGCATAAGACATAGAATTGTGTGTGTGTGTGTGCGCGGTCAGCTATTCAGTCATGTTTGACTTTGCAACCCCATAGACTATAACCCACTAGAATTTTCTAGCAAGAATACTGGAGTGGGTTGCTGTTTCCTACTCCAAGGGATTTCCCTACCCAGGGGTTGAACCCCCGTCTCTTGCCCTGGCAGGCAGATCCTTTAGCAGTGTGCCACCTGGGTAGCACTGTAGCATAGTAAGTAGTGCCAAGTTGTTTTCTAGAGTGAACATAACCAGTTTGTATTCGCATCAGTAGTGCCTGCTGCTGTCTATCCTTATCAGCACTTAATATTTTCAGACTTTAAGTTATTTGTCAACCATATGGATATGTGTTAAAGCAATTTTAGATTGTTTCAAAGGGTAAGAATCCTATCTTTTGTTAGCTGCATCGTGAGTTTAATTTTGATTATGACTGAACATTTTGGTAATTTTTTTTGTGAAAGCCTTTGGATGATTATCTAATACAAAGTTGCAACTATAGTATAAAATCCATTTGTGTTAAGTGATTATAAATATCTCATTTGAAATAAAAAACCTGTGTTTGGTTTAAGATATTTGAAATCCCAAAGATGCCATCATACAGTAAAAGTTGTAGTTATGTAATATTACCTGACTTTTATATGTGTCGTAAGAGACCATTCGAGATTGCCCAAACTTAAGAGTTTCCTCAAACAATGATTTAGTAATTTATAGAGATACTTTAGTAATTTTTAGAAATGCAAGCCGTTTGGACAATTATTTCAGAATCACCTGGAGCTTATAAACACACACATAACACATTCACATAAACTCTGTATGTTGGCCCCTCCTTCTAAAGGTCTGCAGTCTCAGAAGATCTACTCCTTTTCCTCTTTCTATCCCCTCTTCCTCTCTAATCCATCCCCAGTTGAGAAGTATTGCAATAACCATAGCCACGTTGCCACTGTTACTGGTAGATAGGAATGTGGTCTGGGCAGACAGGTAAGTTACATTTGTTTGTGCTAGACACTGTGAGGCTCTACTTTTCATTTAATTTTCAAAATTACTCCCAAAAGATATAAAAGACCTACAGAGATAAGGAAGCAGAGGCTCTGAGAGAAGTGATTTGGCCAAAGTCACACACTGGTGACATGGCTGGGATTTGGGCCCAGGTCCTCCTGGCTTTGACATCAGTGCTCTGTTCGTGAAACCATGGAGCTTCACTCCCTGCCCGCCTCCCCCCGCCCAACCAAAAAAAAAAGATTAAAAATAGTCTTGTAAATTGTAAAATACTATACTGAAATATTTTTTGTTTTATTAAGATTTAAGTTGTTATTTTAAGAAGAGCTCTGAATAATCTGTTGATTTAGCAATAACTTTTTCACCATAAAAATATCTATACAGATAGTGTGCAGAAATGACAAAAAGCCTCATCAGCATTATTTTTGACTATACATTTTGGTTGGAGAGTCAGTTGTGCCAGTTGCCCTACCCTGAGGGATAGTGGAAACAAGCTCTGCCAAGGTTGCAAATCTTTTCCAGTTTTAAACATCACTAATTTTAACATTCTTTAAATTATTTTGTAAACTCTTACTCTCTTGTTTTTGTTTCTGTGAGTCTTCATCCTCTTCCTTTCCAGTGTCTGGTTAGAAGTTTCCTTTCTTTTTGTACTTTTTCCTTATAAGGAAGAGTGTATTTTTTTTTTTTTTTTAAGTATTGTCAGTTTTATTTAAAGTAGTTTAGAATATGAAACATGAGGGAGGACTGCAATCTTCAAGAGAGTAGTCATTAGTCCTGGCGAGGAAGTAGCAAGGGAATGGAGGTAAAAACGCTGCTTTTTTTAGGCTGGAAGATTCCATTGAGTTGGCAGTTAGCAGCATTTGCTCAGAGAAGCGCTGCCTGAGGGATTCAGAGTGTCTTTCTTTTGTAGGGAGGGTTCTTGAGGCCTCTGAGTGCTCCTGGGGCTAAGAGTGCTTGAGCAACTGTTGCTTGAAAAATGCCTGTACACTATTAGTTCCTTCGCAGGTTGGTAACAGAAAGCTGAGTGAGGAGTCCAGAAGTGAGTGGAGGAAGGTTTGAGACATTTGTGGTAAAGATAATGTGGAAAAGGAAAGGTATAGGCAGAGTTATAGAATTTGTCAGTTTAGAGCTTCCCTGGTAGCTCAGCTGGTAAAGAATCTGCCTGCAGTGCTGTAGACCCTGGTTCAATTCCTGAGTTGGGAAGATTCCCTGGAGGAGGGCATGGCAACCCCCTCCAGTATTCTTGCCTGGAGAATCCCATGGATAGAGGGGCCTGGTGGGCTACAGTCAAGGAGGTCACAAAGAGTCAGACACGACTGAGTGACTCAGCACACATAGCACAGCAGATTATTAAATAATTCTCAATAATTGCTTTCTTCACTTTCTACTCCAGCAGCTCTCAGTTATTTTTTGAAGGCAACTTATGGTGCAGAATACGTTTTACATCATAGTCAGTACACATGTACTTGTATACATAAGCGTTGTTTCAACTCAGTTATGGCTGACTCTGACCCCAAGGACTTTAGCCCACCAGGCTTAAATATTTTCAAGGGCAAAAAGGGACATTATATATAATCACAGAGCTGCTATCAAAAGCATTGATAAATTATTATTACCTAATCCTCAGACTTCATGTAAGTTTTGCCAGTTGTACCAGTACTGTTCTTCACAACAAAATAATTCAGTCCAGACTCAAGTATTACATTTAGTTGCATTGTCTCTTTAGTCTCCTCCAATCTGAAAGTGTTTCTTGGTCTTTGCTTTCATGACTTTGACCCTTTTGTATATTAGCAAACAGTTATTTTTGTAGAATGCCCTTCAGTTTGGGTTTGCCTGATGTTTTCTCATGGTTAAATTCAGGTTATGCTTCTTTAGCAGAAATTGCCACTAATGTGATGCTGTGTTCTTCTGATTGCTTCTTACCAGCTTGCACATGATTCAGGTTTGATCACTTTCTCTGCCAGTCTTCTCCAGTATAAAGTTTCTGTGATTAACTTTGTGGGGACATACTTTTTTTTTCCCCTTCCTGTTTTATTGAGGTCTAATTGGCATACAGAGCTATATATGTTTAAGGCGTACAGTATAAAGATTGGACTTACATTCATCATGAAATGAATGTCCATCATCTCATATAGATACAAAATTAAGAAATAGAAAAAATACATTTTTTTCTTGTGATGAGAATGTTTAAGGTTTACTCTCTTAACCATTCTTATAAATAACATACATCAGTGTTCATTTATCATGTTGTACATTAATTCCCTAGTACTCTTTATAATTTTGTACCTTTTGATTCTTTCATCCAGTTTCTTTTTTCCCCATCCCCATCCCCTGCCTCTGCTTTCTGCTTTATTGACTATGCCAAAGCCTTTGACTGTGTGGATCACAATAAACTGTGGAAAATTC